TAATCCGAAGCATCCGCTGAAATTTCTAAATACTCATCATTTTCAGGAAATTTCAAAACAGGGGCTTGCGTTAATGCTTGCTTTAATTTTTCGAAAGCACTATTGGCTTCGGCCGTCCACGAGAATCTTGCCTTTTTCCTTTTTAATTTTAACAATGGTTCAGCAATAGCTGCAAAATCTTTTATAAAGGACCTATAATATGAACAAAGTCCTAGAAAAGAAGAGAGCTTCTTCGCCGTATTTGGCGGCGGATACTTTTGCACACCGATTATTTTTGATTCGTCTGTCTCGATTCCTTTCTGAGATATTTTGTAACCTAAGTATTTTAATTCAGGGGCTGCAAATTTGCACTTTTCGACATTAACTTTTAGACCGGCCTCATTTAATAATGAAAACACCTGTCTTAAATCCTGTACATGTTGGTCCAGATTATCACTAGTAATAATGATATCGTCTAAATAGATAAATGTGGTCTTTCCTAGAACAGGCCTTAGCACAATGTGCATACATCGCTGAAATACTGCCGGTGCTCCTGAAAGGCCAAACGGCATACGCAGGAATGCAATTGCCAGACTTGGTTATAAAAGCAGTCTTAGGCACATCTTCCGGTCTAACCCTATTTGAAAATAACCAGTCGTTAAGTCTAAAGTAGTCATGTATTTGGTAGAAGTTATGTTCCTTTTAATTTCTTCGATAATAGGTAACGGATATACCGGATATTTAGTCATGGAGTTTAATTTACGATAGTCAATTGCAAAACGCCACCTTTTTGGATGTGTTACCGGATAGTCATTATTTTTCTTACATAACATAACCGGGCTAGCATAACTACTTGAGATGGGCGTTATGAACTTTTTACTTAACATATCTCTAATGTGCCACTCTATAATTTTTTCTTTATTCTTATCATATCGGTATGGTTTGTGGCAAACTGGCAGTGAATCTCCGGTGTCGATAGTATGGTTAATAACTCGAGTAAATCCTGGAATATCACTAAATAACGAAGCAAATTCACTTACCACTTGTCGAATTGTTTGTTGCTCTTCCTTAGGCAGGTGGTCGAGGTTTAACGTTGGTGGTTCTGTTTTTTCTTCTCGAACTGGTTTCATCGTAAGCTTAAGAGACGCTTCGTTAAAATCCAGCGTTGCTTCTGCCTCTGAAAGTCTATCCCTAAGATGACATGTGCTTGCAAATTCTTTACGATAAAAAACATAATCTTTACTTGCTCGTCCTTGATGCGACGTATAACGGTAATTTACCTATGCACTTGCATCTTTCTCCCTGAGCAGCTAACAGTGTCGTATTATCCGAGTTATATATGCGGTATTTACGGAAATACTTCCTAAAAAAATCTTCTGCCACACAGGAACACTGCGCGCCTGTATCCAGGAGTGCGGTGGCTGGGATGTTATTCACCAACACTTCAATCTTTGGCAGAGTCAAATTTTTTACCATCACTGTATTTAACTTGAAGGAAGATGGGTTTTCTTGGACTTCCGATTTCCGCACCCTACCGTCAGCAGAAATCCGTTTTAGTTTAAATCTTGTTTCTTCCTTTCCATGCCTTCCTTCTTTTTCCACTGGCTTTCAGACTTTTTTTGTGGCTTACTATTGAACTGTCGACGTTCACCGGTTGTTTTTGAATACTCGGGTTTCCTTGCCCACTGATTCGCTTTGCTTCCGTAGCCGTGTTCTTGACTTTGCTGTGGTCTTGGCGCACTAAATTGGCTTCGTTGCTCATACTGGCGTCTTCTTTCAATGCCCGCCGTTCTTCTACTTTCAAACTGGATTGCTAGCTCAAATAACTTTTCCAGTGTAGTCGGATTCCTTAATTCAATAAAGTCTTGTACTTGGGGAAGTAACCTCGGCAAAATCACTTCAATTATCTCAGGATCCGGACGGTTTCCATACAAGAGTTTGAAGACGTGAATTTTTCTTAAAATAAAGCTTGAGAGATTTTCAATTCGTTTCTGGTATATGCTGAAAAGTTCCGCTTCTAATCTTGCACGATCTCTTACGACAGGGAAGGCTTTTACTAAGGCGGTCTTAAAATTTTCGTAAGTATAGGTGGGACTTCCCGCTTCACCCAAGAGGCTTCTGCCTATACATTTGAACCAATTAAGCGCTTGGCCCCTCAAAGCGCTGGTAGCTAAGATGACTTTCTGGAACTCATGCACTGGATACAGCATGAAGTGGTCATCCAATTTTTCCCAAAAACTGGTTACCTGTGAGTTTCCATTAAATGTTGCTTCTGGTTTCATCGATGCGCGCATGGTCTGGACGATGTAACCAAATCCTTCCAGGGCGGCAGCTGGCATTTCTGGATTCTGAGCCGCTTCTGCAGGCAGCACAGTTTCTTCTTGAAACTCGGCCATGGTTTTTCTTCTTCGTCGGGCGCCACTATCAGGTTCTTTGTTCCTCCTTACTTGCTTTGGGAACATAAAATTTCCTGACTCGAAACAGGGAGCTTACTAAAGCTATGTTCAATAAATTTGGGAAGTAGACAATACACACAGGAAGGGTATAAGAAACCCTTTATTTTTCTCTCTTTACAAAGATTTCCGGTGGTGGTGTATTTAATTACGGCAAAGCACATTAGGGCTATCTGCCTAAGGGGAGGGATGCCTTTCGTGGAGGACTTTGTAAGGGAAACTGGCTCGTATACACGTTACACATGGGGAAAACCACGAAAACACCCATGCAGCCAGCCCGTACGCGGGATTCGAACCCCGGACCGAACTACCAGTGTTCAGCGACTTTACCACTCGGCCGCTGGTGGGCCCAATGATTTCCGGACTTCGGAATACAGAGACCAACCACTTGTGTTCTGAACGTAAGAATGTAAAAATATTAACTAAACTCTAACTAAACTTAACTTTGGATTAATCAAACAAGTGCCTACTCCAAGATTGGCCGTATATTAGCAAAAAGCCGTATGTAATACAGAGAACTGCTAACACTACGATACGTTTAAAATTATCAAGAGGATTAAACCTCTGGCCTTGAAGGCATCCAGCAACCGAGTAAAACTACTATGGCAAGCAGCCTGCTTCTAATAGCTCCTTCCTCTCTCTTGCTTGGCAAAAAGCCACAACTTAAGTACTTGGCGTTCGCAAGACAAATTTGCATAAATAAGTTAAAGCTTTTAATTCTGGCCGGAAGTAGAAAATAAGAAGTGATATTAAAGATTTAAAATAAAATAAACGTTAGTAAAACTTAGGATCCTTACAACACATGTCGTCTCCGGGATTCCGGGATTCATGCCGTTTCCGGGATCCGTTCTCCGGGATTCAGCGACACTAACTACTGTACCGGTTGGGCAACTTTACTGAGTTTTACTTTTTTATATTGTATTTATGCATAAAAATTCATATATGGGAAAAAATCATTAATTTTTAAAATATGTTAAATATTTTAGAGTAGCTCCTCCTCTCATTTACTTTATTTCTTTTTTTTCTACATGATACAGCTTTTTATCAATAAAGAAATTAATTATCAGTTTTATTGATAAATGTTTTACAATCAGTGGGTTCTTGAATGCGCCGATCAACTGTCGGTGCATATTCGACTGTTGATCCCTACTCAATTCCTTGATCACCAATTAACCCCCTGTAAAATTTCGTCGAAATTCCAGGAGATCAATACCGATCTCGATGAAAACTCCCATTCTAATTTCAAATGACCCATTTGAGTTTAGAAAATAAAAAGCAAATTATAGAACCTAAATATGAAACGAGCACTTGAAGCATGCACAAAAAAATAAACCGAAAATAAATAATAACAGCAATATTTTCGTTTGATTACAAAATTGCAGTAGCAAACATGCATTTTTATTTTTAAAAATAAAAACCATAATTCATAATCATAATTAAAAAAGTTGGCTTTGCCAATCTGTCCGCATTCTAGTCAACTTAAAAATACGAGAAAATATTTTCACGTAAGAAATTTAAGTAAGAGTAGAAACAGCTTACCTGTTGGAAATTCAGATACTTGTAATACTTAAGACGAATAACTATAGCCCAGACTCGAATAAACTGACGTCACAAATTCAGCATTAGAGGAGCCATTGATGTCGAAGAGAAAATTAAAGTTCATTCAGTTATGTTTTTATAATAATTAAAATTATAGTTTTAATTTTTATGTATAAATTTAATGCGGATTGTAATTATTTTTTTAATAAAATTTATCTTGTTTTTCACCAAAAAAAGAAAACGATTCTAAAATGAAAATAGCATTGACCCGAAATGTCTTCTTAATACACATATTTTTGTTGATTAGGACTCGCAGCCGAAAAAGTTTGCCGATGCTTGAGCTAGAGTTTGATATTTTCATGAAGTTGCATAAGGTTCGGTGGGACTGGATGTTGAATGAAATTGAACCACAGGCGTGTGTTACTCCAAAAGGATCGAGGAGAGGCTAAAATATTTAATCGAAAGACTAGAATTGACTGTATGGGCTTTCTCCTAAGGAACACTGGAACTATTACATTTAATATAAGAAGGTATTAACATAAATAGAACAAACTTAAATTAAACGTTGAATAGTATTTAAAGACTACATAATTAAATATTCAACTAGAAGCTGCTGGTTAAGTAATTGTACCGGAGCGTCATATTTAAAGTTTCGGTAGCGAGAGACCGCACAGCCGAATAATTACAACTATTACAGATGGCAGGAACTAATCACGTACAGCTGACAGAGCGACCGTTTCGGTGGGCAACTAATAACTGACTCAGAACTGTAGCTAGATAACTGTAGACACTATAGATACTCAGAACTGTAGACAGATCTCCATACTCTAGATAACTTAAAGACTTAAAAATTGTCCAAAGATTAAGGAAACTACCGTTTTTTATGTTACATTTGTTTCAAATTTAGAAAAATCTGAAAATTTGATTTAGGTTTTAGAAAGGTCCTCGTACTTGATGATCTGTGAAGCACAGAATTTAACAGCAAAACTGTGTGCAGATATAAGCATCAATGTAAAAACAGATAAATACCTTCACAGCACCATATAAACAGTCAGCAAGGAATACTATCTGCGGTGTAAGTAAGGCCACACAGACATCTTCAAAATTTCCTCCAAGTTCAGACTTGATATCTTCCACAAGATCCTAAATAGTGAAAATTCATTCCAACATCCATAGAAAAGAGATAGAGAAGATACTGTTCATGTATTTTACGTTAATTTTTACTTCGTGCATTTCATACACGAAACGAAATGTCATGTCTCAAAAGTCACTGTAAATGCATAAAAAATTGGACTCACTCTTCCATATAAACTTTTATATTTCCTCTTAATTTCCTGCCTCTGTAAATTAGAATGAGTTACTAACACGTCGATGATAGCTCTTTCATCCGTACCTGTAAAATATAGTTTTTAGTTGTACAGTAAAATTTCGTTTAACAATATACGATATTTCATATTAAAAAAGGACTAAATTTCAGAGAAAAAATTACGGTAAATTACTTTAGTTCTTAAAATTCTTTCAAGACAATTCACAAGTCACAATGCAAGATTCCGTATGCAATGCCACAATAATTGAATGATTTAACATTCAACTCCATAACTGAATTAAAAGAATAATTTTCAGGATTTAAATTTTGTAATATAAAAGCTATAAATACCCGATAGCTAAATTAAGAAATATAAATATCAGATTGAAAAGGCGACAATGATAATTCTCTAGTTTCTGCTAAGATTCTGATTCATTTTGAGAACGCTTTAGAAAAGAGTCAAAATTAGAAACTGGTAGCTCCATTTTTTCATAAGTTGTTAATCACAGTATGGTTAATAAGTAAGATTCAAAAATTAATTTTAAAATAAAACTATTAGAACATGTACTGAGGCCCCTTCTTTAACCAGCTGAGACGACACACAAACTTCGTCAATACAGTATCTCTATCTTCCAACGAATATATCTCGTTTCTCCTCTACAATATCCAAAAATCTCATAGTGGTTATATCTTTTTCTTTGTGCATGCTTCTATGTGAGCATCATCGTATCTGCTTTTTCTGACATCCTACCTCGCATCAAGCTGACAAATTTGTGTGCTGGAAGTGGTTCTGGAACGCAACACCGAGCAAGCATTGCTCGGTGCTCATCTGCATTTTCTGTCCCCTTGCTTCCCAATAGGGAGACAAACTTGTGTTCTGGAAGTGTTTCTGGAAAGCATCACCAAGTAGACATCATCACATCTGCATTTTTTAACGGCTTACTTTCCATCAGGGTGACTATTTTGAGTGCTGGAAGTGTTTCCAGAAGTCTGTGTTTCAAGCTAGAAAACGTGTTATAATGCAACTATACTCTTATTTTGATTATTAAATTACATTAAATGAATATGACTCTAATAAAAACTAAAAATTGTCACGATGGAAATTTACTGGCATTGCTGCTAGGGGTTATTTCATTTCGTTTGACAATCAGTTCAAGTCCATGAGTTCGTGGACCCTGAGACCTTCTGGAATCAAATTTTGATTAGAATAAATTTGGTCTTTAAAGCAGCTAGTGCACCAGAGGATATGCGAAGTAGTCACCTGTGAATGCAAACAGGATTAACCTTGTGTCCAGAAACATATTTCTCCTGACATGATGAGCTCTGCGGAATCTAGCTAGTACAGCTGGTTTCAGAAAAGTTGGTACTACTCTGTCTGCAACCATACCAGTCATGATTAGGGACAGCTCTCACGAAATGATTTCCACCTTGAGCCTAGAAACAAGATCTAGTGTATCCTTACCCTCGTTAGACAACTACCAACCATTTCATTCCCATGTTGTATCTGTGTCATATTAAAACAAAATATTTATACTATTCTGAATCTCAAGGTACAGTTTTTTATTCTCTTTTTAAACTATCTCTAGGTTTTAAAGTAAATAACCTAGCTTACGTTTCATATATTGCTCTGAATTCTATACATACTCTCAGTTAAAAGACAGAGAAGTTCCAAGTGTCCATACTTGATTTCCTGAGCAAATAATACGGTAGTTAGAAAAACTTGGATCTTTATTGCAGTTTCGCGATGTGAAATTGGTGAAGAAAAGTGAAAGACTAAAAGCTAAAAATATCGCTAAGGCTGCTTCGTCAAAACATGATAAATTTGGTAACATAATAAGCTTAATATTTTTTGCCAGCATAAGCTAAGTCCAAACTTCTAAGAGACTTAGAGCGAATTATCAAACAATCTTATCATAAATATCACTCTTCTTATTCGTTATTCCACCACATCATTTTAACACTATGCAAAAAGAGTAGTGAAGTTATTTTTTAACCTAAGCAGTATAAAACTTAAGTGTATAAAAGCCAGCTGTTGGATGTATATTTAATATTTGCATTCCTTTCCTGTTCTGCATCCAAAGCAATTTGTCACAAGCAGCGTGTCGCTTCCGTTCTTCCTCCACTTACTCGAGAGAATTTGCTTTGCAAACATTCATTACCTCGGACATAAGCTATACTGAGAAGATTGATAAACTCACTGACGAAATTAAAAAGATCGCAACTTCCTTTCGAGGTGGCAAAAATATTCTACCCCTAGGCTTGCGAAAGCAACTGATACACACTGTCGAAGCCTTCCGAATTCTGGCTTTGGGTGTATCTGAGTATATTCCACCTCCGGATACCGTCGATAAAGCAGTCAACACATCCAGTATTTTCGCGTGTGAACTAGCAAATCAACAGCAACACATCACAGTTGCACCTAATCTAGCACAAAAGGCAACAGACAATCGAAAGTCCTACGCAAGTGTAGCGGCGCAAAAGCCTAAACACACCTTGCTGATCTACCCTAAAGACCCGTCCACAACATCCAGGAAAGTGGTAAAAGAAAAATTGACAGCTGAATTCCCGTTACCCACATTGGGAGTTCAAGTAGCAGCATTGATACATCCCGCAGGAAGGACTTGCAGTGGATTGCCATACAAAGGAGGACATTCACGCACTCTCGGAAAAACTGCAGACTGAAAAGGCTAAAGAATTCTTGAAAACCAAGATCCCAAGCACAAGGCTTCCCAGGGTTGCTATACACAATATCCCATTAAGCTTTACACAGGAGAAACTTGGACGAGTCATCAGTTTAGAACTCCATATTAACAAGAATAATGCCAAAATCCTGTACAGGCTCAAAGAAAGGAGTAACACAGTCAAGTGGATTGTCGAATGTAATCCCGATGCCTTCCAACAACTCATGCGCTCCAGAAAACTACTCATCGGCTGGCGGGCCCATCGAATCTCAGAGTACTTCAATACTAAGAGGTGCTACCGCTGTCAAGCATTTGGCCATACCCAGCAGGGATGCCAAAATAAAATCTATTGTGCATACTGCTCGGGGAATCATGCAATCAAAGACTGTCAAGCCAGACGAGCCACATGCATCAACTGTGCAGACAATAACTACCGCAACCGAGACAAAAAAGCTTGCGACCATCCAGCATATGATGTTGCCTGTCCAACATACACGAGATACGTCGAACGGATCAAACGCAGCACTATCTATGAATAGTCCATCAGCTACTAATGCTAACAACAACACGCCTGTAATCCAATCTAATAATAACAATAATCATATGCAGATTCTCTCTCCACATACTATACCTCCATCAAGCAGGAACATAGGTACACTAAGCACAAATATCATCAAATGCCTGCAAATCAATCTTCAAAGGGCTGAGGCAGCAACATCTCATGTCCTCACGCAAGTTATTTCCAACGACATAGGCCTCGTAATCATGCAGGAACCATACTGTAGAGAAGGTCAAGTCGCTAGCTTACCTATTGCATGGAAAATATACCAAAAGGAGTCCCCGACGGCAGATCTTGCTCCTAGAGTAGCAATTGCCTGCTGCAACCCCGCATGGACACCACAAGTCATCAAGCTGCATAGGGATTATGTCGCCATTCTAATCATTTTTGAAAATATGCAATTTATCCTTACTTCGGTGTATTCACCACCAACAGATGCAATTGGCAGCACTGTCGCCCACATAAGCGAAACAAGTAGAAAATTTCCAAACACAGCTCAAGTCATTGGAGGCGACTTTAATGCCCATCATATTATATGGGGGTATAGTACCACAAATCCAAAAGGACAGGAGCTTGAAGATTATATTGCGGCAAACAATTTACAATTGCACAATACAACGAATGCACCACCTACATTCGATAATTCGTACAATCAAGGATGGCCAGACTTAACGATCTCAACTTATGATATTGCTAACAACATACATTCATGGCATGTCTCAGACTCTGAAAGTTGTTCAGATCATAAATACGTAGAATTTACTATACAAACAGATACCACCATTTCTATAATTAAACGCTATAGGCTGCCAGGTAACAAGGTTAGACAATTGACCCAGGCCTTTACTCGTCTCCTGCAAGCAAAAGAATTGCAGCTAGAATCTTGCAACAACTCAGAACACCTTGATTCCCTTGCACAAGGACTTCTAGAGGAGCTTAATGAAATATGTCAACAAATTTTACCCCTCCATACAACCAAGAAATTACAAGGAATCTCTTGGTGGACCAGCAAACTAAGGCAACAAAGACAAAAATGCAGAGCTATGCGCCGCAGACTAAGAGGCAACGTGGACGGAGAGACCAAAGCACAGATTCTGACCACATACCGGCAAGAGCGGGCTAAATATAAGAATATTCTCGCTGCAAAAGTGACAAGCTGGCGTACCTTCTGTAACAACAATACGAATCCCTACGGGATATTACATAAGATTGCAACACAGAAGGTATTCAAACCAGCACAAATTCATGCACAGGTTCCAACAGCTAGTCTTTCAACAAACCCAGCGGGGTTTACAGCTGCCACCCTTCTTGACGAAATTTTTGCAAAGGACGATCCGCATGAAGATACACTGGAACAACGTGTAGGGTGAAACAATACAACTGTCCCAGATACGCCAGATGATTATGCTTACTCAGCAAAAGAAATCGCTCATGTATTTCGCTACCTACCCCTGAAAAAAGCCCCAGGACCGGATGGCCTGGACTATTCAATAATTAAAGTTGCATATAAAGCCAATCCAGATTTCTTCACTAAATTCTTCAATAAATTACTTCAGGCAAAGCTCTTCCCAACCGCATTTAAGAAGGGACAGGTAGTCTTGTTTTTGAAAAAATTAAAAATCCATCTGAACCGCGGTCTTAAGACCAATCTGCTTGTTGTCTGCACTGGGCAAAGTGTATGAAAAGCTGATTGTCAATCGACTTCGTCATCATCTGCACAAGACCAAATATCTAGGTGTCCGACAATTCGGTTTCCGCATAGGATCTTCCACCGTTCAAGCCTTTTCAACAATCAAGGATTGCATCCAGAAGAATAGAAATGATAATATGCATACGGCTTTTATTTCGATTGACCTGGCCAGCG